TTTTGTCTTATTGTTATTTATTATTCATATGTTTGAGTATGATTCCCCCCCCCCCAGTTATATATACTAATAGCAGCTGCAAGTGGAAATGGTGAATTTGTTATTTTGTAGCCCGAATAACTCTGTTGAGAAATAGGATAGAGATAATAATATGCTTAGCAGAAATTTATAGACATTTACAGAAGGGAAGGATTCAGGAGGAAACTGCCCAAATTTGAATTATTTGGATATATAACTGTAGAAATAAATATCTACAGGTTTACAGATCATTCCTATTTTTCTTTCAGTCACTTCTATTTACATGTCAAGATTTTCATAACCTTCTCTTGTATATAAAAAAGGCTATATTTATTATTTGGTGCTTAGTTCTCCCAGTGCAAACCCGCTGTCCAGCCAACAGGGCAGGGCTATTACAATTGAAATGGAAGTGGTCTGTTGCAGTGGTAAGATTCTACTGATTCGAGCGAACTGGTAGTAAAAAAATGCTATCGTTTCGCCAAACCGGTAGTGTAGTGTATTCAAATAGAGACTTCTAAGTCGATGTTCCTATTGGTTAGTTAATGCAATGAAACGATTGGTTAATAACATCAGTATCGGATTGGCTGCCTAAAGCGGCGGGAAGTTTAAATAAATGCCATTGGTTGCGAGCCGCGAGCAGCCGCTATAAAAAGGGCTGCCGCGGCTCGACTGCAGTTGAAGTTACTGGTTATTATTAAAGAGCTGAATTCAACTCTGGTCTTCGAGTCTCTTTACTGGCGACAGAACAGGTAGTAAAAGAACTGCTACCCGTTCAGCTGAACTGGCATTTCTTTTTTTCTTTTTCCTCCTGGCAATCAGCTGTTCCGACTATCAGCTGTGCCAGAATCTCCCTCGCTGTCTTACTGCTTTGCCCAGGAGGCTTCCCTGAGGCCCAGGAGGCAAAAAGGGGCGGGCGGGGATGGTGATAGCGCTGCTGCACAGCCTCCCCATGCTCCATTTTTTGCCTTCCTAAGCATTCTGGGAGCAAAAACATCCCCGCTCCCCAGGAAGTTCCCCTGAGGCCCAGGTGGCCAATAAATGGAGCTCGGAGGGGGTGCTGCACAAAAGAAGAAGCGGAAGAAGAAACCACACCCACCCAGTCACATGGCTACTCCCACCTAGCCACTCCCACTTAGCAACGCCCACAGAACCAGTAGTAAAAATATTTGCATCCTACCCCTGGTCTGTTGGTTAAAAAACAACCGTGCTTCTCCAATTAGAATATTTTATTTATGTGTGTGCGTTTGCCCTTGAGCGTTCTCAGCTCCCTGCCCTCCCACACTAAACCTCAGCCGATTTCCTTTTTGGGGGATTTTATGAGCTCGTAAGAGAGCCAAGTTGTAAACTGGCTGGGAGGCAGAAGGCTCTTTGATATCAGCTTATGGTTTTCAAAAACGGTGCCCTCAGAGTAAGAGGGAAGTGACATTTTGCCTAGCCACAGCATTCTGTCTCAAAAACTGTCTGATTAATCCCCAAGGTAGTGATTTATGCTCCATGGGAGGGTGGCTAAGGGTCAGAGGGTAATACAGAAGTGTTTCTCTGCCAGCAGAGAGGAAGGCCCACACACAGGATGGTTCCAATAGGCCTCCCAATCTTGGTAGCAGAAAGCTTCATGGTCACTGCCCTGTCAGTAGGAGGATCACAATAGGAAACATAATACCATGCGTTTCAGATTCAAGCTAACACTTGAGCTCTTCAAAGCCAGGGATATAAAATATTATAGCTCCTCAGCTGAAAAAACATTGAACTGCCATATTCTGTCAAATGCCAAGATCATTTGAGTCCAGTGGTGGGATTAATTTTTTTTTACTAACATTCTGTGGGTGTGGCTTGGTGGGTGTGGTGTGGTGGGCGTGGCTTGGTGGGCCTGGCAGGGGAAGGATACTACAAAATCCCCATTCCCTCCCCACCCCACTAACCTGCTTTCCAGTTCGCCTGTGCAGGGCAACAAAAGAAGACCCAGCCAATCAGCTGGGACTTGGGAGGCAGAGAATAGATGGGGGCGGGGCCAGTCAGAGGTGGTATTTGCCGGTTCTCCTAACTACTCACAATTTCCACTGCTGGTTCTCCAGAACTGGTCAGAACCTGCTGAATACCACCTCTGTTTGGGTCGATACATATTTATTGGGCCTCATAAGAGGCAACCTTCTCAAGGCACTCTAGTCTAGCAGAAAGTTTCTTTGGGCAAAGCATGAGCTAATTAGTTGTGGTCCATTTCTCCCATGTCAGCCATTAGGGCAATATTCTTTAAACATTTTGCTTCTCACTTTTAAACATTATGCAGGATCCCAAGTGCTTTTGTTTGCATGGGTTATATTGGTCAATATTTGCCACATTAAAAATTCATTCATAGAACATTTATTGAATCATATAAAAATAACAATCTCAAACCATTAGATATTAACATAAACTATTTTTCATAGAAAACAACCTATATATTTTTTAAAAACTTTAAAAAACACTGTGAGTAACATTGTTTTAAATTTTTGAAAGCATTTTCAATATTTGCCCAATAATTTTGGTTTCACAGACCCCTAAGGCCATACTTTAAGAAACACTATGTTAGAGCTATGCAGTGCTCTCAAGTATGTAGAGACCCAAATTTTATTTTTATTTATTTTATTTTATTTATTTGATTTGTCAATTGTTTACAAGATAATAAGTACAAGTGTATACATAGTTGTGAATATATGAAATGGGTACATATAAGAAAAATAATAGAATAAGAGAAACAATAGGACAGGGACGGTAGGCACGTTGGTGCGCTTATGCACGCCCCCTACAGACCTCTTAGGAAAGGGGTGAGGTCAATAGTAGACAGTCTAAGGTTAAAGTTTTTGGGGTTTGGGGAAGAGACTACAGAGTCGGGTAGAGTATTCCAGACATTGACCACTCTATTGCTGAAGTCGTATTTCCTGCAATCAAGTTTGGTGCGGTTTACTTTGAGTTTGTATCTGTTGTGTGCTCTTGTGTTGTTATGGTTAAAGCTGAAGTATTCATTGACAGGTAGGACATTGCAATGTATGATTTTATATACCATGCTTAAGTCGGACCGAAGACGGCGTAATTCAAGGTTTTCTAGTTTTAGAATTTCGAGTCTGGTGGCATAAGGTATTCTACAACGAGTAGAAGAGTGGAGAACTCTTCTTGTGAAATACTTCTGGACTTTCTCAATTGTGCTAATATCACATACGTAATAAGGATTCCAGACTGATGAACTGTATTCGAGTATTGGTCTAGCAAATGTTTTGTATGCTCTGGTTAGTAGTGAGATATTACCAGAGAAAAAGCAACGTAGGATTAGGTTAACAACTCTTAATGCCTTTTTGGCTATGTAGTTGCAGTGGGCTCTAGCACTTAGATCATTAGAGGTGAGTATTCCCAGGTCCTTTACAGAGCTTGGGTCATCAACAAGATCTTGACTATTCAGCTTGTATTTTATTTTCTGATTTTTTTTACCAATATGTAAGACAGAGCATTTATTTGTTGAGATTTGAAGTTGCCATATGTTAGACCATTCAGATACATAGTCTAGGTCTTTTTGTAGGGTAGTAGTATTGTCTGTGGTATTGAACAGCTTTACATCATCAGCGAAGAGAACGCAATTGCTCTTGATATGATCACAAAGGTCGTTTATGTAGATTATGAAGAGAGTTGGTCCTAGAACACTGCCTTGGGGAACACCACTATTGACAGGTACTGGATTTGATAGGGCGTTCCCAATTTTGACCATTTGTTGTCTGTTTGACAGGAATGCTTCTATCCAGTTATTCAGTTGTCCAGAGATACCATAAGATTTTATTTTTAGGAGTAGTTTGTCGTGTACCACTGAATCAAAGGCTTTACAGAAGTCTATGTAGATTGCGTCTATTGCTTTGCCCTGGTCGAGTTGTGTAGTCCATATGTTTTTGCAGTGTAAGAGTTGCAGATTACAGGATAGTTTTTTTCTGAAACCGAATTGTTTATTGGAGAGTAGGTTGTTTGTCTCTAAATGGAGGATGATGGATTGGTTAATAATTGATTCCATGACTTTACAGGTGACGCAGCATAAGGAGATTGGTCTGTAATTTTCAACTAGGCTTGGGTCTCCCTTTTTGAAGATAGGGATGACTGTGGCTTGTAACCATAGGTTAGGCAAGGAGCTGGTCCTGAAAGATTTTTCAAAGATTATGCTTAGAGGTTTGGCTATGGCAGTGGGTAGCTTTCTTAAGAAGTAGGCACATATTCCATCCGGTCCAATAGATAGAGATGGTTTTAGATTGCGTAGTGCTTTTTCAACATTGTCTACTGTAAAATCGATATGTATTAGATCATTGTTGTTATCTGTGGTACGGCTAGGAAACATTGGGCATGATCCATTACTGTTTACAAACACTGAGCCGAAGAATGTGTTAAAGATGTTGGCTTTAATGGTGTCGTCGCTGCAGTCTTTACCATCAGGTCCTATCAAGGGAGGGATGGACCTTGAGTCTTTTAGTTTGTTGTTTACAAAATTGTAAAAAGCACGGGTGGAATTGGTGCTTAGAAGGTTTTCCTCTTGTTTAATGTGATAATTGGTGCATTCGGTCTTTATCTGGTGGCATAAATTTTTGTATCGGTTTTTGAAATTAGCAACGTGACCAGATTTGTTTTTCTGCCAGAGTGATCTCTTTTTGGATTGAAGTTTGGATTGAAATGTAGCCTCTCTTGCAGCTATTGAAAACCAGGTGCGTTATTTCCCAGGATCACCTGACAGGTAGCTATGAAATCCAAGAAAAGATGCAGTTGAGATTATTTGCAGACTGAGATTGTGTTCATTCCCCTATCTCATTCAAAGCACCTTGCTTGGATAATAGATCTCTTCAGCACTTTATATTCATGTGTCCCTTTAGTATGCCGAAAACAAAATGGTGAACGGAAATCCTATAATTAAAATTTGGGATTTCTCTGTGTGTTATTTCTGTGTGGTTAAAAAAAAAGAGCATTTCAAATTTTTTTTGACTATGTTACTTGATAGCATAAAAATAGACTGGGTGGAGTTCTATGACTCCGACTTTCTCATGCTTTTATTATCTTCTTTTTCAGGAAAAAATGAAAACCCAGCTGAAGAATGGACATTTTACCCAAGCTCTGGCAATCACACTTACCATATAGGGAAAAGATGTTTGTTCTATGGTATCCACCTCCGAAATAAAGCTACATCTTCTGAGAGGACACTGGAAAAGTCTATAGGGAGGAAGAAATATGGTATAGCCTCAGAAACCTTCTATTTTTAGAATTCCAAGCATTAGAATGACAGACAACAAATAATCAGAGTTGGAAGGGACCTTGTAGGTCATCTAGTCCAACCCCCCACCCAAGCGGGAGACCCTGCACTATTTCTGACAAATGGCAGTCCAATCTCTTCTTGAAAGTCTCAAGTGATGACACTTCTGAGGGCAAACTGTTCCATTGGTTGATTGTTCTCAATGTCAGAAAGCTTCTCCTTAAGTTTTCAAATATCGATATATAGGTTTTCCGTGGTGAAAAGTGATTGGTAGGATACAAGTTATGGATTATTGAGAACCACTGATGCAAACCTTTGGACTAATAAGATTGAGTTGTTTTTTGCAAACAAGCATCGAACTGTTATTAAAAACCTATGAGGCTAATGAACTTCATTCTGAATTATTGATGACATATTATGTTTCATTATTATTTAGCCAAAAGAAGAAATATATTTTCAATTAAATTCATGTGTTATAATATACACATACGGTATATACTTGTAAAAGAACAGCTTGCTAAATATAAATACAACCAAATTGTTCAAATGTCAGAAAATATGCTTGCAGCCAAATTGCCTTCTTCAATTTCTACTTTTGTTTTTAATACCAGTGGATGAAACTTCCTCCCGAAATGGCATCCCAATGAGGATGCTTGGTGACCATCCATTTGCTGCTCCTGAACAAAGTACAGATTTCCACAAAAAGGGATCAACAGTATCTCCAGTTGATTTTGGGAGGCAAGTTCTTGTCTGATAGCTTCTTTTTAAAAAACCAAGTCACTAACTTCCTTTGCTTATGGAGGAAGGGAAACAGTAGAGGGCAAGTCTTTGCAAGGAGAAAGAGGCAGATAAAGAAGCAGGCCTATAAAAATGGAAGTGACATAGGATTCTTCCAATTAATCCCAGCGAGTTAACAGATTAACAGAGTTGGAAGGGTCCCTGTTGGTCATCTAGTCCAACCCCCCTGCCCAAAAAGGAGACCCTACACCATTTCTGACAGATGGCAGTCCAGTCTCTTCTTGAAAGCCTGCAGTGATGAAGCTCCCACAACTTCTCAGGGCATGCTGTTCCATTGGTTGATTGTTCTCATTGTCAGAAAATTTCTCATTTCCAGGTTGAATCTCTCCTTGATCAGTTTCCACACATTATTCCTTGTCTGGTCTTTAGGTGCCTTGGAAAACAGCTTGACCCCCTCCTCTCTGTGGCAGCCCCTCAAATATTGGAACACTGCTATCATGTCTCCCCTGGTCCTTCTTTTCACTAGACTAGCCATGCCCAATTCCTATAACCATTCTTCATATGTTTTAGTCTCCAGTCCCCTAGTCATCCTGGTTGCTCTTCTCTGCACTTTTTCTAGAGTCTCGACCTCATTTTTATAGTATGGTGACCAAAACTGGATGCAGTATTCTAGGTGTGGTCTTACTAAGGCTTTATAGAGTGGTATTAGTACCTCACTTGATCTTGATTGTATCCCTCTGTTAATGCAATTTAGAATTGCATTGGCTTTTTTGGCTGCCGCCACACACTTCTGACTCATATTGAACTGGTTGTCCACTAAGACTCTAATATCCCACTCACAGTTACCCCTAGTAAGCCTGGTTTCACCCACTCTATATGTGCGTTTTTGGTTTTTCTTGCCAAAGGGTAAGACTTTACTTTTCTCTACATTGAATTTCATTCTGTTAGTTAGGGCCCAGTGTTCAAGTCTGTCAAGATCCATCTGGATTTTGAGTCTATCATCTAGGGTACTGGCTATTCCCACCAGCTTAGTATCATCCCCAAATTTGCTAAGTTCCCCTCCTATTCCCTCACCTAAGTCATTTATGAAGATATTGGAGAGTACTGGGCCTAAGACAGAACCTTGTGGTACCCCACTGCTTACTTCCCTCCATGTAGACGTAGACTCATTAACGACTACTCGTTGAGTACGGTTTGTCAGCCAGTTACGAATCCATCTGATGGTGATGCTATCTATCCCACTTTTTACTAGCTTACTAAGTAGTAGTCTACTTTGTGGTCGACTTTGTCGAATGTTTTGCTGAAGTCTAAGTATATTATGTCCACAGTATTTCACTGGTCTACTAATTTAGTCACTATGTTGAAGTATGTGTCAATGAAATATTTGTTGTGACTATTTGTAGTTTTGTTACTTTTATGTGAAATATATTAATAGCTGGCATTACTATCCTCGAAGGGTGTTCCTGCTGAAGTGGAGCATTATCTGTGACATTTTGGAGGTTCTCTATGTACATGTGAATATTCCCAAGAGTGCCAGAATTGAATGTGAGCAGGGATTTATCAAGCAGGTTTTATAATTATAACAATAAGAAGATTATTTATACAAAGTGCTTTATAGAGATAAGCAAAGCCTAGCACTTAGTTAACAACCTTCTCCCAGGAGGAAAACCCAAGAGCAAGGATTCTGTCCAAATGTGCCTGGGGACCAAATCAGAAGGAATTGACCTCTGATTAGTAATCTCTTACAGAAAGGACAGAGGCAGAGTAATAGACAAAGAGGGGATCTGGAGTATCTCACTGCATTGTTCCCTACTTATACTTCCAAAAGATATGTAAAGGTCAGTGATAGCAGAAGCTGAATAGGACAAATGATCACTTTTGGAAGATACATTTTTTCTTAATCCTGAATGAAAGATCAGATCTGCAAGGATTTTTTCTTTCTTCAATAATAGGTAAAGGTGATGAAGAGCTACGGTGGGGCAGTGGTTAGAATGCGGTACTGCAGGCTACTTCTGCTGACTGCTGGCTGCCTGAAATTTGGCAGTTCGAATCTCACCAAGCTCAAGGTTGACTCAGCCTTCCATCCTTCTGAGGTCGGTAAAATGAGGACCCAAATTGTTGGGAACATGTGCTGACGGTAAACTGCTTAGAGACGGCTGTAAAGCACTGTGAATATAAGTCTAAATGCTATTGCTATTGCTATGTGAATACAGATTATCCTTCAGATTGCTATAAATTGTTGAAAAGATTTTACAGTTTTGGATGAGCTTTAGTAAAATGTCTAATGAGTCAAATGTCTGCATGTTATATTCCCCAAGCACTTTGACTGATCTTCGACAACAGATCGAAGTATTATTTTTACATAATGGTATTTCTGCAACACAATGAAATATTTGGGTTCTTCTGTGTCTCAATTCTCTCTTCCACATAATGTGATATACTGGGAAGAATATACATATGAAATATTATGCAGCTGCATATATTATGCAATCATCTGCATGGGTTTTCCACTGGAACTAAAGCAAAAACTGTAAGCATAACTATAAATAGAAAATGCTAGGCTTCCCAAACATTAGAAGCAAACTGGAAACTTCATCTTGCTGCCAATGTATATAAAAAGTAGCTCCTACTTTCCTACAATTAGCATGAAATGTGGATTTTATTTTTGTATGCCAGGGTTCTATGGTAGATTGCTTAGGAAATTGTGAACATTCCTAGTACAGGTATTGATTATATACCATAATTTAATTAAATTAAATACTCAAAGATCTTTCTACTCAAAATCTTTTGTTTCTTTTTAATAGCTCTAGCTATAAAAAAAGGTCAGATACCTTTATCCCTCTCCAGCGTTTGCCAGTAACTCCTAGGTATGTATCTCATCTCTTAAGCAACATTTATTTTCTTCTGTAGGCTTTTGTTGTTTATACTTGTATTACTTGTTTCTAGAAGATATCTGCTGTATTATTAATTAAAATAGATTATTTTGTACATTTTCTACAATATACTGTAATGTAACATATAGCAACTTATACATTATAAAACTTTAGTAACATCTCTATTTTTAAGCTTGCTTTGAGTACCTTCTTTGAAGTTCTTTCACAGTAAAGAAGTACCGTATTTGCCGGCGTATAAGACGACTGGGCGTATAAGACGACCCCCCAACATTTCCACTCAAAATATAGAGTATGTTATATACTCGCCGTATAAGACTACCCCCTCTTCCACACACCTTCCACTTTTGCACTTTTTTTTTTTTTGACGCACTTTTCTGCTTTGGACAATTTTGAAATGAGCTAATCCAATTTTGAACCAAGAATATGCAAATAGCTATGGAGTTTAGAAATGAGTTTTAAAAATATTTTTCATTGCTTACCATTAAGCGTAAAATATGTTGTAAATAAAATGAGAACACAGGAAACGTTCTCTTCTCAATACAGCTGATCTCTCTCTCTCTCTCTCTCTCTCTCTCTCTCTCACACACACACACACCAAAAACCCGGACACTGAAAAGGCTGCCAAGGAACAGTATATTCAATGCCTTCTCTTTAATCAAGAAACAAGGAATTCCTTAGAATCTTTTTTTTTCCCCAAGTGGCCCTCTTTAAAAAAAAAAATGGAGGTAACACTTTCATTCAAAAAGTCTTCCAGTATCTGGAGTCGCTCAGACATATTGAAGTGAGGCAGGAGAGTAAGTGAAATTTGAAATGATCCAGCTACCGTTTTCTTCCCCTCCCGCCCGAAGGCCATTATCTCCAAGTCAAAACGAACGAGGGGAGGCAAAGAAGCCAAACACGCTAAAAAGGATCTCTTTATTTTCCTACACAAGGTCACACCTACTTTTCCGCATTCAAAGGACAACCTCTCCTCACCACCACCACACACACACACACACACACACACCCCAATACCCGCAAACAATGTTCTGGGCATTAATCACCATTGCTACATTAACCTGGTAAATTTATACCCTGCCTCCCCCAGTGTTGCTTTGACGGCAGGATTTCACACAGCGGGGCGCTCGCTCGCTCTCTTCTCCGCTCTCCCACAGTTCGCACATGTTGGAAGCACCGTAAAACCTGATAACCCACCCGGGGGCTCCCCCATCCTTAACCTACAGCCGCCCGCATGCAAAACCTGCGTGCAAAAAGAAAAAAAGAAAAAGAAAAGTACGCCGCACGTGAGGATCTTCGAATCCTCTCCTCCCCACACCGCTAAGGAAGGAAGAGGGGGAAAGGTTGCGCAGCGCCTGGCGAGTGACACCCGCCACACACACACACACACACACACCGCTCCCCCCCCCAGCCTCCCTCCCGGCTGCAACTCAAGCTCGAAGTGGGAGTCGGAGTCCTCCCGGCGTATAAGACGACCCCCCCACTTGGAGGCATGTTTTTCAGGGCAAAAAAGTCGTCTTATACGCCGGCAAATACGGTACAAAAGGAAGAAGGTATATGTGGGATTACCTTGTAATATTTACCAGATATAAAACTGGCTGAATACACATTGTTTTTAATATAGTTGGCCCTTGTTTAGTGACCATTCGTTCAATCACAGTTTCTAACTTACCATAGCACCAAACCAGTGGTAGTTACAATCCAACCTTGTACTTATAGCTATTGCAGTATCTTGTGGTAACGTGATTGCAATTTGTGATCATCTTTGCCAGCTTCCCACAAAGAAAGTCAGTGAGGAAGCTGGCTGGGAATCATGGTCATATGAGCTCTTCCCTTAAGGACCCCTGCAGTTCTTATTTAATGATGGCAACCAGAACTGCCATCGCTGAGCAGAGCAGTCACCCGGTTTTTCAACTTACAAGCACAATCACTTAATTATGGAGTTTCTGGCCCCAATTAATTTTGCAAAATGGGGACTACTTGTAGGCATACAGAGCTCCTAAGTACTGTTCTTTTTTTTTTTCCAAAAAACAAAACAAAACCATTTGTGCTTCTATGTAAAATCTGCATATTGTAAGATTTATTGTAAGGTTTACAGGATGAGTGTTATTCAGACTGATAGAAATCACTTGACATCTATGCGTTTATAGCTGAATTTTCATAGGCTACCATTCCCAATTGTTGAGGTTGTCCAATTGCACACAGTTCATAGTATAGTCTACTTCACTTATAACGTTACCATCATCAATCCATGATAAAAAGAGACAAGAGAGCATCTTAATCCCAACACGAGGGCTGATTTTTATCTTCATGTGAAGCAACACACGACATACAGGAACCATATGAGGGGCCCAAGGTCATCCCACTGAAAATCATGCGGCTGGCTGTATGTGTATTAAGCCTACAACAAGGCACATCTGTAAGATTAACCATACATGTTTTAGTTTGTAAGTTTAGTTCAGTTTGTTTAGTTTATAAGAGAACCAAAAATTCTAACTTTTCCCTCTCTAGTGCTATAGTCTTGGCTACTAATAATAGCAACATTACAAAATGATCTTCTTCTGTGCAAAAAAGCTTGCACATAATTAATAATCAATTTCTTATTTTCATATTTTATTTATAAATAAAATATTACTTTGACTCTATTGAAAAAGATTAATGTTACTGGAGATTAAACTTGAATTGCATATGCACACAATTTGTCAGTACACACAGGCCTAGACACACACACACACACACACACACACACACACACAACAATATAATACCGTAGTAGTATAACATCAAAGCTAAAAAATACAGATGACCACTAAAAGGTAAAGCTAAAGGTTTCCCTCACACATACATGCTAGTAGTTTCCGGCTCTAAAATGGATGGCAGCAAATGGTCAAAGGTTTTGTCTATCTTTTAGATGACCACTAGTTGGCAGCAAAAACAGACAAAACCTTTGACTATTTGCTACCGTTCAGTGGTAATCCATATTTCAGCAGTCCAGATCCAACAGGCTTCCTTTAAGATTATCTAATTTATTTCCAAAAGTGCTTCAATCTATGAAACTGAAAGCAACAATTGATTTCTGCCTAGCAAAACTGTATTATATCTCACAGCTCTACACAGGTCTACTCAGAAGTACATTCCATTGGACTCAATTCAGCAACACTGTAGTCTGTATGTAAAATGTTACAGAATTGTTTTCTGAGTACTGTTTGTAGTTATAACCTTGACAGGGTCAGAAGATAAAAAAATCCACTGAACAATGGCAAATATTTATAATGTTAGTACTCTGAAAGTATGATACTCCCCATGTAATTTTCTCATAAAGTTAATATAATGAGGTTTCTTTACTAAGGTTTCTCTGAGGTTTCTTTACTAAGCATGTACAGGTATTTATATGTAAATAAAATAAACAACTAAAATTCATTTTATTATATGGTCAGATACACAGAATATAATGCCATTTTTTGTAAAGCCACATTCTTCAAAAATATCAAAACTGGCACAAGCACTTTTCTAGGCAATGTATAGTATTTGGTACATTTAGGGATTATTGATGGAAAGAACTAGCCTAATCAGATTTAAATTGGGTAGGAAGAATTAAAAAAAAAAAATGATTTATTCCCAGTTCAGCCTTACTATATTCTTATTCTTCCATCATGCCACTAGAGGGCAACAGAGTTGGTTATCTCCCTCTATATCTAAATAAAAACGCAGCCATCTAAATTCTGTTGATTTTTGATCCTAACAGTAGCAGCAGCCCCTCCTACTGCTAATTAGTTGGGGGAAATAGTTTGGGGGACGTATATCTAGGAGGGGTGATAATTTTAAAGGTCTTTCTTGTTTGCCCCTAATCACATCAACGTGCCAGGTAACAATTCCTGCCTTCTTCTACTGATATTGCTTTCATCCTGGCATCTCCAGCACCTCTGTGGGACAGCTTAAAACATAAATAGCATTTTCCCACTAAAAGTGTTTCTCTACTTAACTTGACATACTTTGCTGACAATTGGATTGCTGACCACTTTAGCCCTTCAGGCTGTTGTGAACATAGCCCCTGCCCTGCCTCTCTAGCCACGGGGCACTGCCCTCTGTAGCCATTTTTGACTGGTGGATGGATGGGACACCTGGCTTCTCCAAAACAGTATTTTCTATAGTTCTGTACAAAGTAGACCAGACTAAGAAATCAAAGCCATGTAGATTAGGACTATGGTTTATTGTAAAGCTATAGGAATAGAATATTGCAAATCTGAACGTGGTTCCCCCTCCCTCCCTTTATCTTTGTGTGAGCTAAGGAGGGGGCTTATGGAAGATGTTTTCTCAAATTAGTTTCCTGACCTAGGCTCAAGTCCTTCTTAACTGATTGTTGCTTTCGTAGCAGCTCTTCCTCCCTTGAGGTCATTCCTGTAAGTTGGGTTGTACTGAGTTGTCATTCCTGTAAGTTGGTTGTGAGTTGTAAGTTGGTTGTGAGTTGTCATTCCTGTAAGTTGGTTGTACTGACTGGCCCAAAGTGACTGGCTTTCATGGCTAAAATGAGACTGGAATTCAAGTTTCTTGTTTTCTAGCCAGCACCTTCAGCACTTCACCAACTGGCCATCTTTTTTGACCATACTCTGAAAATACTCTTTGGCCAGGTACTATTTTTCTATTTGCACTCTAGCTGATGGTGATTTTTATGAGTCAGTATGCGTCACTGCAAGCACTATTTTGCAATTCTGGAAGATTGCTACAGTGTGTGTTCCGTGGTTACTGACAGTCGCGAGGTCAGAATTGGACTGGTTGTTACTCACTCCAAGCATTGCTGCTCCTTTGCAGTATTGTAGTAACCTTGCCTGGAGCTGACTTATTACCAATATTATTTATTATTTATTATCATTATTGACACAAAAAACAACAATGTACACAGCAAACGAGATAACTATGCTGGGTTTCGTATCACAAATCACTAGTCGAACACTTCCCAAGCATTTAGGACTGTGTGATGTATCAGCAGATTATGCGAGCAGATCCCAGTAAGGTGGCCTTCTGCAGCTGACCAATGGTGATCTTGTCAGCGCCAATTGTTTTTAAGTGCTTGCCTAGGTCTTTAGGCACAGGACCCAGTGTAACAAGTACCACTGGAACCACCTGCACTGGTTTATGCCAGAGTCTCTGCAGTTCGATCCTCAAGTCCTGATATCTGGTGATTTTTTTCAAGTTGTTTCTCGTCGATTCTGCTGTCACCAGGTATGGCAATGTTGACGATCCACACTATTTTCTTCTCCACAATCATGATATCCAGGGTGTTGTGTTCCAAAACTTTATCAGTCTGTATTCCGAAGTCCCACAGTAGTTTTGCATGCTCATTTTCGACCACTTTTTCAGGCTTATGATCTCACCAGTTCTTTGCTACAGGTGGCATCATCATCATCATTTCTTCTCCTCCGCCTCCTCAGCCCTTGGCTGCTACCAAGAGTCCAATAACCTGTTTCTGGCAAACTCAAGTTTGCAGCACTTTCAGAACTAGCTGGATAGATAACAGGCACGGAAGAGGAGTTATGTTGAATAGGATCATCCCCCTCCCACCTACAGTCACCCTTAGTGCCAGTCAGTTGCCATTCTCTGACTCCAACTATAAACTTCCCCTCCTCCGCCCATTAAGGAGAGTAATAGGTGATTGTTCTGCTAGCAAATGATTTATGCCTGATGATGGTGATGTTGGAATTGGGGAACTGGCAGCATAAGTTATGCCAGCAGGCTTTTCTGTTGAGTCCATGATCTGAATCAGAAAAATATATGATAGCAAGGAACACCTGAGCAGAAGGGGAAAATAACAGAAAGGGATGCAGAAAAAGTAAATCCGTTTCTCTTCGGTTCATTGCTGACCAGTGCTGAAACTGGTTTATCACTTGCCTTGCCTTCTCCCACCTGCTTGCCCTTCTACTGTATCTTAATGCAAAAGGGATTTCCCTCAAGACGTGATCCTTCCCCTCAGTGGATTGGAAGTTACCTGCAGCCGCAGCCTCCCTGCTTGGCAACTCAGGGACAGGGGTGTTGCAGCTTGCGAAAAGTTAGACAACGGTGGTAGGTTGCCCACCTTGGAATTAGCTGCATCTATTGGAAAGCCTCCTTTGAGCCAATATAATGTCAAACTGAGATGTGGTTTTGGCAGTTTAACTGAACTGATTGGGAAATTGATTTATTTTTTTTAAAAAAATGTTCCATCCATATGGCTGCTCATCTCAAATAAGTGAATCTGGGAAACTAACAGCGTTGTTTTTTTTAGTGGAAAAAAGCAACAAAATACGTTAGACAATTGGCAGGTGGGTTAGAAACAACAAGGATAAAAAGCAACCATCCATATAAATACAGCATTTTAAATTAAACTAATTCACAGGCTTTTTTTTTTTTTTTTTTGACACTCTGGCTTCATGTGCTGATGCAAAGGTCTGTGTACTGTAATGGGCACATGTCTCTCTTTATGGGCACATTGTTTGTGCATTCTCTTAAAAGTATGGTGAATGCACCTAATTGCTAATGTTTTCCCCCCAATTATTTGCCATTTATTTATGTTTTCCCTGAACAAATATATTTAACTGATGTATTTAACTGAAGCCGATGTAGAGACATCCTGTTTGCTTCAGTGCTGAATCTACCTATTAAGATTGTGGTTATTGGACTGCAATTACTCTGTGTTTTTCTCCTCTTGCTCTCAACAGTGTGCCTTTCCGTGTAAAAGAGAAAGAGCTAGAATTAGAGAGAGAAAAGATGGAAGTGAAGAACCTGGAAACCTGGAGACCTAGCCCAAGTTTGATGCAATCTTTACTTGAAAGTGGACAAGCCAGAAAACTAACTTTGTCATAATTGAAGAATGGAAGGCAAGCTTGGTCCAAAAGCTCTGATTTTGTATCTTGTAAGTTGTAGGACACATCTGTAAATACATCTCCTAGAAATTCTTGCCCAATAGAAATGACCACATTTTGAATAATTGCAGAAAGTTAGTTGTTTCTGTGCACTATGTAGTTGTTTTATATAGTTTCTGTGCACTAAATGGATGAATGAATAAATTAATGAATAGGAAGTTTAATAAAATGTATTTAGTTCATTTATTTCAATTATGATTTTATGAAAGAAGGAGAAAGTTAAATACCTTTTCTCAAGGTTCTTACACTGTAATTTCTTCACTGTGCCTGTTCAGGAAGCCCTAGAGATCAAGGAGTTATCAGGATTCTCTGTAGTTTTGCTTGTAGACTTGGTCATGCTAAGGAAGGTACCCATACATCACAAAGAAAGCAATAAGACAAAGCAATGAAGTTTATTATAACCTCTGGTTACACATAGGTTAATAATAAAAGAAGAGAGAACTTGGAAGAACTGGGCTTAAAACCTGCTGATAGTATTATTTATGTCTATTCTTTATCTATTCTTTATGTCTATTCTTTGTACCAGGCACTCTGGTAGAGATTAGAGTAGCAACCCACTGCACTAGTAAACGGAACTTGATTTCAAGACAAAATTTCAGACAGACTTTGCTGTGAATCAATGGACTGGAACAAAAAGCATTAAGGAACAATTAAAGAAAGGGAGGAAGAAAAGTGCAAAAACTTATTAGGGTAGGCACCAAGTGTTGAGCTTAATGGGAAGAGAACTTTTTCCCCCCCCCTAAGCAGAAGGCCTGGAAAAGACAGGAAAGAAATGGTAGCTTGGTTTGGATGAAGACCAGAAGTAGAAAGGATTAAGCACTGATAAAGAGTTGCTCCCCATGCTCTTCATTCCTCTGCATGTGGCATTTGGCATTCCTCCTCTCAACACCCCCTAAAGCTTCAAATTCAGAAAAATAAATCTAAATTAGTATTTTTTTTCCTTTTTATAAATAAATGACCTAGCCCTGAACTTGGTCCCTTGCCAAGTTCAGATTGGTTAGAAAACTTCAAAAGCCCCCCTGTTTGGTCTTGTGGTCTTCTTCCCTCCCCCTACATACTTGCTGTCACTTTCTCTCTTGCTCCCTAAGCAGGGGTATCTATTGTCAAGTGTTGTTGGGTAGATTCATAATGAGTGCAAATTGTCTCACTCATGGCATTTATTTCCCATGTTTATCAGTTTTGCACAAGACTACTAGACTTATAGAAACCAGCATAAACACTGATTAGGCCTTGCATGGAAAGGTGACCAAGAGCTGATCAATCCTGGTAACCAAGTCAAAAGTAACTCTAGTGATTTTAGATGGCCATAGAAGCTAAAAAATAGCCAATCTCAACTGAACCGATCCCAACCCTGCCACATCATGACTACGGTTGCCACTGAAGGATCCCAATTCCTACATATTGTGGGCTTGCATCTGGAGGAGATGGTAAACACTTACTTAAAGATTTGACTAGTTCAGTATGAAATTAGCTGGCCTCAGCTGGTTGGAGAAGAAGGCATATCCTTAAGGAAAGTTAGTGAGGCATTTTTAAGCAACAGTGAGAGAATATGTGGATTCTTCACATCTTCCCAGAAAACATAAAGAACAAAATGAATGTGGAGTGTAGTCAAAGTATTGAAATGGCTTTGGCTAATGCAACACCAAGTTCAGATGGTACGTTTGGAAGTGTAATCAGAGGTGGTATTCAGCGGGTTTTGATCAGTTCTGGAGAATCAGTAGTGGAAATCTTGAGTAGTTCGGAGAACTGGCAAATACCACCTCTGGCCCCACCCCCATCTATTCTCTGCCTCCTAAGTCCCAGCTGATCAGCTGGGTCTTCTTTTGTTGCCCTGCACAGGAGAACTGGAAAGCAGGTTAGTGGGGTGGGGAGGGAATGAGGATTTTGCAGTATCCTTTCCCTGCCACGCCCACCAAACCAAGTCCACCAAGCTACGCCCACAGAACCAGTAGTAAAAAATTTTTGAATCCCACCACTGAGTGTAATGCTAGCTTACTTGCAGTTTAGTTGAGATTAATGGAATTGACCAATTTGTTTGAGCATTTTCATCCAACCCCCCAGTTCTCCTTACAAGGAGTTTTGCCATCTGGCAAATATGAATCACTTGACAAGTCTCCCCCCCTCCTTTTCCCAAACTGCTCGATAATTCATATCCTTGATTATTCTGAAGGCAAGATAGTATGTTGCTTCAAAACACCAGTGCTAGATTATTCAAGTCACCAGCATCCCAGGAGATCCCAGGTCTGGGTTTCATAAGCCTGCCAACTCTTGGAATTGAAGACATCTGGCAGCTTCTCAAGCCATCTTTTCCTTTTCGGTTTGATAAAATATTTCTTAAAACAGTGAGTGAAAAACTTTTTTGATTACGTATTGCTGAAAAGTCCTACAGTTGACATTCAAAACTAGTAATGTTTGTGCAGCAACATTATTGAACAATAGCTTCCAAGTTTTTACAGAGGCCTGTAAGGATGTGCCTCTAATTCCTCAGTTCTACTGTAATTCCAAGAAATACTATTCTATTCCAGTTTTATAGTCTTTCCACATATCCACGCTGATGAAGCAATCTGCTATGTTTCTTTACTTTGCTGCAAGTTTTGCCTGTGGGATCCCCCCCCCATTCCCCCCTGTGATTAAAGTTACAACTGAGAAACATGATTTTCTCAATGTGCTTCTGAAGGGCCCCAGTGGTGTATGAGAAAATCGGTATGCCTTTCTGCTCATATACCCATGTAACCTTTTACCCCTTGTTTTGGTTTGAATTCACACTGAGAGAGGTGCGGGGGGGGGGAACCTTTCTTGGGGCTGAATTTCTGGATTGCTGCTTGCTGCTTCCATGTGTGCACTGGAGATAGGACAAAAACCAGCACTCGATCAAAGGAACGAACTGCAGTAAAAAAAAAAAAAATGCAGTTGAAGCTTTTTTACTTTCAGTGTCCTTTGGAGCAGAAAATGGGCAAAACTCTTCATGGACTGCAAGGATTGTTGGAAACTGAAAGTTGACGCAGGAAATGTCAAAAGCCCCAGAAATAACATTTTAATATGTGTTTTTTGTAATAAATTATTCATCGGAAAAGTCCAAGTGAGGCTCCCACTGAGTTTATAATGAACTCAATGTATTCCTGCCCCATCTCTATTACTATATATAGGTGAGTATGCCTGAAAAGAAAGACAGTTTCTAAGTGCCAAAGGGTTACATGATTTATTTTGTTTCATTGGCTTGACCTTTTTTTTTTTGTCTTTCTTGAAAGATAAAAATGTTCAGTTAATGACAAATGGATCATGAGCCTTAAACAATAGGTCTCTATGGGAATCACAAATTATATGTGAATGCTTTAGTGGGAAAATTTACATTTAATAGTAATAGCAGAAGTAAGAGCATTTATACTCATATGCCGTTCCATAGTGCTTTATAGCACTCTCTGAGCAGTTTACAAATGTCAGCATATTATCCCTAACATTCTGGGTCCTCATTTTCCCAACCTTCAGAGGATAGAAGGCTGAGTCAACTTTGAGCCACATCAGGATTGAACTCCTGACTGTGGACAGAGTTTGCCTGCAATACTGCTGTGATGACCCAGGAAGCAGCACACACATAATAAATTCCCAAACGTAAATACATTTCCCATAATGCCTCCAACTTGACCCCACTGTTCAATTGTTCACAGTTGGAGACTATTTCCAAAATAGTCTCCAAAAGAAAGAATTACAGTCCGAACTCAAAGAACAGATAATGGAGAAATAACAAACAAACAAACCACACTGAAGGAATTTTCACGACAGACCAGGATAATTAATTACAAACTTCAAGAAGATAAAAAAGCAACTCTGTGTTTTAAACGTCCCTCCTATATACTATTCCCACCAGCTGCAGCCAGCGAGGGGGATCATGGCCACTTCCTCTCCCGGAAGCCATGCTGTTCCCTTCTCTGTTCCTCCCTGCATGCCCTAGGATGAAGAGAGGATGGGCTTGGATCTTCCTCTGACTGCCCAGCTGGCCTCTGCCCTTCCCCAGCCTCCCCAACAACCTCAGGAGCCACACTTCCACTCCCTGTCAGCTGTTCCTCCTCTCCCTTGGAGTCAGTCTCCAACAGGGGCATGATAACTGCATTCTAACCATTGCACCACCACAGCTCATAATAGAAGCAAAGCCTACCTTGCCCCCACATGAATTAGTCAAGGATTTCGAAGATCTGTATTGTAGACACTGGATATAATGGCCTAATTGACTGTTTGCTATTGGGAGCTCCTTCTTAAGACGTTCTAAAATGACTCTCCAAAGTTGAGGACTGGCTAGAGATACCACAAATTGCTGGTGTAAGGTTGACCATGGGTCCACGCGAACCTGAATGTTGCATGTAAGAACAGTTTGCACACAACATTTATAACTTGCCCAATGCAGTACATAGGCAGGCCTTCAGCTGTAGGGGCAGAGCAATATTTTTTAACAACCGGTTCTATAGGCGTAGCTGTTGGTGGGTGTGGTTTGGTGGTCATGTTATTGGCTGGGCGTGGCCAACTCAATATTACTCATATCGAGGCACACACCTCCTTACCTATCCTCTCATGACTGTGGAGATGCTGCAACAGTTGTAAGTGTGAAAAATGGTCATAAGTCACTTTTTTCAGTGCCATTTTAACTTTGAATGGTCACTCCACACAAGCAAAGTATCAGCAAAGGAGGGATAAAAAACTCCAGAGACGTTCCTGAGACAGGAAGTCTAGTCCTGCCAAGAATGTAATAAGGGTTAACGGAGAGGCAGTTTCTGTAAGCAACACCAGAATGTTTCCTTCCTGCCTTCCTTACAGGATTAGGCCAGTAATTTCTTCTAACAACCGATTCTCTGAACTGCTTGGAATGTTAACAACCGGTTCTACTGAATAGGTGCAAACTGGTAGAATCCCATCCCTGGGGCAGAGCACTTCCTAGGGTGGTACCTCTGTCAAGGACAGTTGAGAACAGCAAAGTCCTCTCCTCTTGTGTTGTTACTTGGGCAGCAGATCTTTGGCCAGTGATGAGTCCAGCCTGTAGTGGAGGATTTCCTGTTGCAAGTTATTCCCCTGACATAATAATATAGAAGAAATAATAAATTTGCTGTTTTTAACACTATT